TGATCGCCGCCGCCTTAACTTTTAGTGTTTAAAAAAGGATTAGCAATTAAAATTAAAAGTATTAAGTTTCTGTATCCCCTGTGCCTCCTTGTAATTTTGTTTTTTGGCGTCATGACCAGGCTATCATAAATTTCTTATGTCATGCGTCGTGTATTTTATTGTTTATTTCAGCCTTTAATTTAATAAATACCCAAGTACATACAACAACTTAATACGGATTGTAAGTACAAGATCCTTTTCCCAAACATTCATACTTTTGGAAGTTTATGTACTTATCACCTTTTTATTAAAAAAATAGCTGTAAATATGTAAGTTTCCATGGGTATAACAGTATACAATATATATATATATATATATATATATATATATATATATATATATATTATATATATATATATATATATATATAACGGTTGCAGTTCAATTTGAGTTTCTTAGCATTGTCCTATATGTATTTCGAGGTTTACCTTTTGTCAGGGAGACTCAACTGAAACGCAGTGTCAAGATAGCAATTATAGTAACATACTATATCAGTATATGCTCATAACGACCTCCAGCAATAAAACATGTAGTCAGGATCGATGACGATTTAAGTAAATTGAAAATATAATCTTAGTTCATCTTTACCTTCAACTGCATGTCTTTATTCTGCCACTACGTCAACAATTTACCCATCTAAATCACTATACAAGATGTTTTGTAAGTAATAAATGAAGCTAAACATAATAGGTAGCTAAACCTACACATTTCGGTTTTCGTGTAAATTAAGTACAAGAATTGAAGAATAAAGTTTAATCTAGGCCACATATATGACTTTACTTTGTTAGTGGGTTACTTTAAGCACACTGGATCCACTAATACCTACATAATGACTTAGAAGGGATCAATAGATAAACTTAGAACAAAGATGTTCTTTAAGAACCGCCCATATGAAAAAGATTTAAACGATTCTAAAATTCTCTGAAAAAGAACATCACAAGAACAAGGAATATTCCAAATTTAATTAATTCAGACATAAGACCCTTAACGAAATACCCAGACATAGCAATTGATTGAACTGTAAGGACATATTCTCTATTAGGAATATCATCATCTTGGTGCTACAGCCCTTAGAGGGCCTCGACCTTCTCAAGCTTTCTACGCCATTCTGTTCTGTCCCTTGTTTGAATTTTCCAGTTGCCGACTCCGATCTTCTCCGCATCTTGTGTTACCCCATCCATCCACCTCAGCTTTGGTCCACCCCGTCGTCTAATTCCCACAGGTTGCGCTGTTAGAATCTTTTTTATCATGTCTCTATTAGGAATACCAAATAATTTTAATACTTAAAAATTCCCAGCAATAGAAACAAGTGATGATTCTGAAGTTCCTTAAATGGCCAAACTAGATATACTAAACGGAAGCATAATTAGTCAAAAAGAGACAAAGTTGCCGAAACATTTATTCATATTTTAATAAGAAATAAATATATATATATATATATATATATATATTTAACGAGAATATAAATGGGAAATCGAACGGGTATATATAAAGTGAACCAAACGTATAACCATATTCCTATTTCTAGTAGAAATATAGTGTTTTCTGTGCAGGAGGGCAAAATGCGAGCAAGACACTTACTAAACAAGAAATTACTGAAAAACTTTTACATCTACGGTATTATTAGGGGTACGACAAAATGTATTGAATAACAAAGTTTTTTTGTGTAGTTATTTAAGAAATATTGTTTTTTTATTGTCACTGACAACAAAAAATTCAGTTTTTACTTGAAAATTTTACATAACTATTGGAAATGCTCTAGTTTCATAGTAAGTCAAAGTGAACGTTTTTTATAAATTTTAAACAACGAGAAAGACTGATTTGAGAACAGGCATAAAGCAGTTTCACTTAAAGGTGTAACAACAACCACAGTCTGGATTCAACACTGTTGAAATACGCTACTATATTGATATGGGGTAAAAACTGAATGAATGTGTTGGTCGTCCAGAAACTACTACTATCCTATAATATATGATTGGAAATATAGACATTACAGTACTGGGTTATCGTCGAGTAAAAGTGTATGAGCTAGCGGATGCATAAATCTTAAAAACTTGGAAATAAAAAAAAACAGTTACTCAAACCGGAACATAAACGTACATTTGGAAAAGCAGTTTTTGCTATTTCATAATCGCCAATAAAACCTGTGTTCACCATTACACTTCCGAAGCCAAATAACAAGTTCAAACAATGGACAAAAATTCTTCACGATCACAGAAAGCGTTTACGGTAGGAGAGACTACTCTCATGAAATTATCTTAAACAACTTGGTACTATAACTTGAAATATTACACTTTCGAAGCCATGTAACAAGTTCAAACAATGGGCAGACAAAGATTCTTCACCATCAAAGAAAGCAAAAACAGTGTTTACGGCAGGAGAGACTATTTCTCATGAAATTATCTTGGTGACTTGGTACTACAACTTGGAAATGCATTTGGCAAAGTAGGAACTGTTTTACCATTAGATAATACACCTGCGGGTCTTGGATTGCAAGAACTGCAAAAATTTATAAATTGGGTTTTAAATCAAGGAATTCTAGTCCCATCATACTGCTGTTAATACTTATTTCGAGGAATTAAAGTCACCGACTTGCGATGAAAGCGTTGCTGAATGTGCTTGGAACAAAGGTGTTGAACAAACAGTAAATAAACTCTTCGCTTGGCTACGTAGTCAAACAATCTCAGTATATGTTATCCTAATTGTATTTGGCGCGACAGATTAGTAAAAAATGGCCGTAAAAGAAACTGAAGACAAAACAGCTTTCTTAACTGATTTAAAAAAGAGGAGTTAAATTTTCACTGTGATAAATACCATTCAAAAAATTTATATTGAATATTTTTATATAGGTACATATTTTTAATTCAGTTTGGCATCTTTGTGCTAAATTTTTATCTACATCTTATCATTTTATTATTATATACAACCACCTTTATTGCGATGACTTAGTGCTACAGCAAACAAAGAGCCTTAAAAGATTTTCCATTATTTTAATTAATCTAACAAAAAGCATTTAGTAAACACAAAAGTAGTCCGCTAATAATTCGGTAGGTTGTATTTATAAACATAAATGTTTCATATTTTGAATTCTTTCCACACGCATATTGTGACGTGAAGTACTTCATCGTGTATGACCTCATTTTTCGCTGTGGCCTAATTTTTAATGATACATATAAAAAAATTGTTATGGTGCAAAATGTGTTGAAATATTTCGTTCTTGTCTAAAGGTAATATTATAATTTATTAGAAGATTTCTGAAAGACGATGGTACATCAAACAAGAATTTTTAAGTGGTCTCAATAGTCAATCAAACAGTTCAAACACAGTAAAGAAAAACAACCTGTATGTTACAAAAACCAGCACATGGTAAATAAATAGCCATCGTACTGGCGTAAAAATTATATTATTTGATTTTGTGTGAAAAATACAGCAAAATCTGAAAAGAAAAAGTGGAGGGCAGCAAAAAAGCAGAAAAATAAAGGTCGACTGGAAAATTAGAAATTGTAAAAAAAAATGTAAGCAATATGTATACTAGATTTAAACGCAGTATTATTAGTCTAACTTAACTCATTGATAGATGTAGTAGTAGCAGGTAATTGGGAACATTAAATAGGTAATGAAGAATCCTATACAAAGTCCATAGTCAAGAAAAGACGTACAGTCCATTATGCCATTTCTTTATAAACTAAAAAGACATATTTTCTAGAAAAGACATTTTTTATGTTACGAGAATACCAAATGCTAAAATATAAAGAAAAATACATTGAAAATAACTAATACAAAAAGAACGGTAGTTTGGGAGAAGTAAACTGCGAGAGCAGTGAAAAATCTCCACCTACATCATGAAATGAGTAATTATAGGGGTTGAACCTCTGAAGAACTGATGATGCAGAATCTCTTGTGAATTTTATAATAAAAGTATAAGAGGTAGTGTGATGGATTAGAAGACGAAAGCGATGTTGACAGGATTACAGGAGAGGAATGGTTAAGATGAGCTAAGATTCAGAAACACGCAGAGGCCAGTAGGAAAGCCATCAAAAGTGCAGATAATGCAAGAGCTGGAGCTCAGTGCCTCAGAAAGAACTAAAAGAAAGCTAAACACAGAGTCAGCAATATCTAGTTCTATAAAAAAATATATAGCAAAAATTATGTGTACATACAATGTAAGGAACATTTTTTCTTAAAGAACAGATATATCTTTCCAAAATGAGAGATTTTATCAGTATTGAACTGATGGAATATATGACGTAGACGCCATTCACATGCTGTCATTACGTAGAGACTTTTGTAAGTTGATTTAACGCACTCAAAATAAACTATTTAAAAAAAATAACACCAAATGTACTGCAAAAATGTTAACAATCCCATGCTGTAAAATTTTTAAAAACGTTACAAATTTTCAGTATCAGTGAGGCAATTATTAAGACTAAATCATGAGATGGAATTTATTTTGTCTGGAATAGAAATTTCGAACAAATCATGAATATTATAAAAAGAATGCCTTCAAATGTTAAAATGAACGAAAAAATGTGTTATGAACAATACAAACTGATAAAACCACCAAATACTTAGTTAACAAAAAAGTTAATTAACTTGATTATAGTGAGGGAGTTACTATAGTCTGCTTCGGACATGTTTTAAACAAATTTGACAGATCCAATATATACAGAGAAACAATGAACTATCATTTTGGCAAAATTAGAATGGTGATTATATATTTGTTTTCCCGCCAAATTCAATATTTCTAATTTATTTTTGACATAATCGGTATATTTGTGAGGTTATGATTTCGATCAACACAAACATGTGATTGCTTCTTTTTAAACATTTTTCGTTTGTTTAAGAAAAGTATTTTTGTAATTGTTTATACTACAAAGATTTTTTCGTCAGTTTTTAATATATTTTATATACCAATTCACAGGTGTATATTAAATAGAGTAAATATAAAGATAAAAACTCACCTTCTAGCTTCATCCCAACTTCCAGACATTTCTGAAACCTGCAAAAAGGGCACCTCTTCCTCTGGGTTTTGTCAATATGACAACTCCTTTCAGCGACGCACGTATAAACTTTCTTATTTTGCACGGTTCGTTTGAAAAATCCTTTACAAGATTCACAGGTAAGCAGGCCGTAGTGGTACCCCGAAACTTTATCCCCGCACACAGGACACAGTTCCTCAATTCCGTCTTTGGTGTCTGTAATGTCTCCAACACCGGTGAGAGAAGTGGCAGAGCCGGCTATCTGATAGCTGGGGCCCATGTCGATCCCAGACAGCGTGTTGACTCCTGTAGAAAACAAATAAGAAGGGTCAATATTATTCTGGGACATCATCATGGATTGTTGATAGTGATGTTGCATTCCCATAGTTTGCTGGCAGCTACTATAAGGGGTGGATATAGGGGGAGAGTTATACTGGGGCGGCAAAGGACTGGGGGCTTGGTTATTCATTGGGGAGTCGCTAGAGTTCGCGTTAAATGGGGACATATTCAAAGACAACAGCGAGGAGTGGCTCTCCATTTCGAGTAACATTTCACAAAATATCAGTCTACCTAAACGTCATAGTAAATAAAACACAATACACTACACAGTTATATCCAGAAAAGAGTTGTAGTATAATCCAAAAAGTGGCACACACACGCGTTGCGTTGTTCAGTGAAATCGAAACCGTTTGTTATTATGAAAGAGTCGAAATAACATAATAGCAACTACCATCAACGATTCGCAAACTGTGAATGTAAACTGACCAACAGCAGCGGACGAAACGCGGCATCGGCACGACACCGCGAACTGCCGAAGTCTATCGACGATTGTAGTCTGCGTTCTCTCTCGTTCGTGTCGCCGCTAGCAGCACAGGGCCACAAATGATTAGGAGTCCATGCAATAAGTGAAAGTGAGTTCGGGACCAGTGACCTACTTTCCAATGAACCAGGTCTATGTTAGAGCTGTGGTGGTGTAGTCATACATACATACACACTTACATCACACACCAGCGCTGTTGCCGCTCCGTCGAACATTTTACTAGATACGGATATTTCGAACAAGGTTATTAGGATTTTTGTTGGATGTGACGGTGTAGGAGATTACAAAAAAGTATTACATGATACATTTTAAATTACTGAGTGGGAAAAAAGAGCAACAATACTTAAACTATTAAAAAGGATACTTTTAACAAAACATTCCAATCTAAGCTATTACTCTGTATTTTTAAATCAATTGTCTTTATTTTCTACTGAAGAAGTGTATTTACTAATGTTTGTATGGACATCTTATGGGAATGTGGCATGTATCAAGGCACATTCAAACTGTGTCAGAAATTCTGTGTGATTTTAATATTATATTTTTACATTCTCTAACTTATATAAAACTAACTAAAATATGCCCAAAGGAGTTTTAAAATTTAACTGAGTTCTCAAGTAGACCAGGTATCTCTTTATTCCTGTAAACCAGTTCTTAATTTTCTTTCAATTATTTTGTATTCAATTTTTTTTTGTCTTTTGTTCATTCCTTCATTTTTATCACATCTTAGCTTCTACAGTAGGGGCAAGCAAGATACGTAGTCTACATGATTTTCATGAAACTTTTCATAGGTCAAGTTAAGGTCGCCGAGTCCGAATATGCAAATATTTCTCGTCCGTAATTTTTTAACTTCTGTAAGTAAAAACCAAAAAATAGAAATGTTAAGATTTTTTGGTTGTTGAAACCACAAAATTCAGATTTTTGCTTAAATCTGTGCCTTCTACAATTTACAAAGCAAAACATACGATGAAAGAACCGACAAGGGGAATCTAAAATTGCATTCCACAACATACCGATTCATCTAAGCATAATCCTCTCGTGAACTTGTTTTTTTATACTCATAAAGAGTAAATAAAGATACAGAAAAGACAGTTTAGATTTGATTTCGCGTAACGTGCCTCTGCTTATTCGCTCATATGTATTTCGTCCTAACAGGACTCATCAGAGAGACTGTGCAGAAGGTCTAAACGTGAAAACAAATCTTTTTCGTGAAAATTAAATATCAAAAAGTGGCTCTTTTTAAATATCTTCAGAATCAATGTTGATTTAAAAGAGTGTATTTTCAGGTCAATTTAATGACGCTAATTCTGAGAAGCTTTGTGATCTGGATTCTAGATACTGAGATATTAACAACCATAGTTAAGGGGTAATTATAGAAACGATGAAGTACGAGGTGTAAGCGAGCTGGAATATGTAACTAGGTCAGGTTTGATAAAATTTGGTTAGGTTAGTAAAATTGAACTCTCCGACCTCTTTATTTTTTATGCAGTTATTTTATGCACTTGATTTTTAGTTCCCCCTAACACTTAAATATGCGAAGGCCAGATTACTAAGGTCAAGCCTGTTTTTGGTTGTTGATACCTCGGTACCTTGAATCGCGATCACAACAACTCTTGCACATTAGTAACTAGCATTATCAGAAAATATATTTTTTACACACAAATTTATTTTAATTACTACTTATAACTGGGAATAAGCCACATTAAAGATAAAAATACATTTATTGACGTTTCAATTTCCAATTCGGAAATCGTTCTCAAAATACAAATAGTAAATTAAACAAATTTTGTTTTTTTGTTACATAGTGAAAAAATTCTTCTGATAATTTAATTTTATCTGACTCATTTATATTGACAATTCAGACATACATTATGCATTTTAAAGTAGACGACTTTAAAATGATATTGCCAATATTGTTGAGTTGCGCTCCTGGGACGACTTTACTTATAAGATAGTTCATTCGATTACATGAAATCAACTTTAACTTGAGAATATCCGTCAGAAAAAATCATAGCATGTAATTCGTCTTTAAAAAGACAAATACATGACATGATGACAGTAAAATTCTCCTGTTAGTGATTCCATAGTAAATTATGAGGGAAAAAACCAGGAAAAAAACCTCATAATACTATCCCGACATTGTAAGTATTTGTTCGTGAATTTAGTTTACCTTCAACAAACATCAAAATTCTGATTTTATGTTACGTTATTTAAAAAACATAAATGATGTATCCTCTATATGTTACTGACTTACTAATACTGGTATTTTCTTATTAATAACTTCCTCTTTCAATATTGGTAACCAGATCCTACTACATTCTGCCGAGGAATTTGCGACACAATTGGCCTCATTTAACATAATTAGAGCCGCTTCTTTGATTTTTCTTTTTTTACCATCCGTTTCTTTTAGGACTATATTTGAATTATTCCATTGAACTCTATGTTCATTATCCCATGCGTGTTTACATATTTGAGATCTATCAAATTCTCTATTTTTAATATAAGATTGATGTTCACTTATTCTAACATTTAATGGCCTTGATGATTCACCTAAATAAAACTGATCGCATTCACAAGGTATTTTATAAATGCAATTCTTTGTCCTTTCTTGTTCATTGTTAGGTTTGGTTTTGGACAAAATAGATCTCAACGTGTTTGTTGTTTTGAATGTTGTTGAAATGTTGAATTTATTTCCTATCCTTTTATTTTTTTTTAGCTTCAGAACAATACAAATTTATTTTGTTAGCATTTAAAAAATTAGCCATTTTGCCAAGTTTAATCATTAAAATCTAAGGAACTAAAAATATTTCTGGCTAGAAAAATACTTTATTGGGGATAATCAGCTTCGATTTGACTTATGAGAAGTCAAAACAATTAGTCACTGTCAGTTAAATAAAGCATTTAAACAATTTTACACCAGCAACTATAAAAAAAAACAGAACTATAAGTATTTATAAATAGCACAATTCAAAATGAACGCGAAAAAAAGTACAAATTGTGGAACTGGTATATTAACGAAGAAATTGGGAAAAAACTCGAAAAGACTAATCAATCTAGATACGTGAAATATAACAAATATGAAAAAGAATGAAAACGAGCCACTCGCTCGTTGCATTAAAAAGCATAAACTCTGAGAACAAGAAAAAAATTCAACAATTCAAAAACGAATTTTTCTTATTTTTTTTTTATTCAAAGAATATTAACAAAAATTAAAACTTATTTATATAATATATAAAAGTGTTTTAATAACTTTATCAAGAAATTAATTACAATTAAAAAATTAGAAATGCCTAATTTTGAAGTTTTGGATTCCAAAACAAAAGTAATTTTGATCGACCTAGATTGAGACTGAAAAGACAAAATAAAATATTTATAACTGTTCAATTGTCAGTAAATAAGATTTCATGGCCGAAAAGCTTTACAACAGTGTAAAAACTTTTTAACTAGTTTATGCCATAGAAACATCTATGTAAAATCAAATAAAAATAACGATGATATTTTAAACCGCATGGAAAACATCGACCATGGCAACGCCGCTTTCACTATTGGAGTAATAAAGTCAGGGGGAGCGGCGGTGGGGTATGGTGGGGATGTCCTACTGACCCACATACACTCGGCGCATCATGTGGATCTCGCGACGCAGGGCAGGACAGTGGAAAATAGAAGAGAAGTGGGAAGGAATCGAGGCGGCTAGCCCTTTACCTTCCGCACTTCTCCCTTAGTTTACCCGTTTATTTTGATATACACGTGTTCGCGATTAGGTGGGAGGGGCGCGGCGTCAGGACTTCGTGTTGACTTCTTGCAGCACAATGCGGCGGGATTTGCATAGTTTTGATAGAAAAACAGCCCGAGGTCGGCACTTGAAAGATTCAAATTATTTTGGATGTTATTAGAAAAATTTTGAATTTAATTATGGAAGCAACGGGATATCTGGAACGAAAAACAAAAACATTAAGAGCATAGGTACTACAAGGATAGAAATATAGAGACGAATAGACTACCGCAAGTAAAATAATGGGCCAATACTAAACAAATATAAAGAGGTGAACAGGGAGGATCTGTGACAAAGTAAGACTTAAAGCGGTAATTGAGGAGACAAAAATTACGGAAAAACTTTATATTAAGAAGATAGGAAACACCAGATAATTAAAAATGATTCAATTTTAACTACAATTCAATTGAGTTAAACCATTTAATATTAAATATTATAATTCTTCTTCTTTAAGTGCCATCTCCGCGGCAGAGGTCTGCAATCATCATAGCTATTCGGACTTTTGAGACGGCTGCCCTGAAAAGTTCATTTGATGTACATCCGTACCACCCACTCAGGTTGCGCAGCCATGACATTCTACGCCTCCCTTATGCATCTCTTTCCTTGGATCTTTCCCTGTAGAATCCGTTGGAGCAAGGTCTATCTCTCCACGTGTAATATGTCCGAGATATCCCAATTTTTTTGTTTTAATTGTATTTAAAATTTTTATTTCTTTAT